TATGTCAATTTTCTTCAAACTGAATGATACATCTATTTCTATGTGATGATTTGTAGGATATGAGCATAAAGTCATCTTTTTTTTTGAAGTTGTAATGAAAACAAAATGAACAAGCATGTGAGAAAAAAATCAAAGAAGAAGAGCCGCTCTTAGCAACAGACAATATATATATTGTTCCTAATTTTCACAGGATGGTGGCCTATAAGCGAAATGTGAATAACCCTCATTCATTACAAACTAGTTAAGTAATTTTAACGAGTGGCTCGTCAAAAATAGTGAAGAACGTGCATATGGGGAACCAAAGATCTAAAAGATAGATGGATCTTTGTGGAATGATGTTGTTGAGTAATTTGAAATTTTTTATTCGACCGATGCATCTTTCTACATGTATACGATGACGAGCCACGATACGAGTTTCAATGATTTTATCGGATGATAGTTGTGCTTGACGTTCTAGAAATGGAGGATGTATAAGAGATAAATGCGTATGTTTCCGAACCAATGCAAAGCCTCTGTTAGACATGATCTGGTCGCCATCCTCAACTAGTTCGATGAGACTTCCGAGACCTTCCATATTAAGCAGAGCTCGATCAGAAGTTGCACCTCCGAACAGCTGCGAAATGGATGATACCACACCGTTCGGATTATGCCAACAAGTCCTGTACATAGAACAATGATAGAAGAATGTTAAGAATGAAAAATAAGAACAAAACCAGATCATAAAAGCTCTATATACAGAAGTATAACTGTTTATTTTCTATAGTGTTAATCGAAACATGCTTGTTATATATATTAATAAGAGCATGAGCATTGTCATAAAATCATTAAATTTTAATGATATACTCAAGAACCTGAAGATACTAACCTTTAGCAGTATTTGTATTCTGATATGTAGACCATGTGTCTTGCTGAGCTTGAGGATTCGTTGGTTACTCGATCTCAAAATCTGTGCAATCCACGATCACCCGCACTGAAGGATAGTTTTTCTTGATTTCGAACGGAAGTGCTTGTTGTACTTGCTCTTTCAACTGCCAAAGAGAAATAGAACTAAGAAGAGAATTAGCAAATCGAGTCCAGGCAATGATGATTCGGCTAACCGTTGCCTGAGAAACCTTAAACAATATTCCAAGGGGGAAACAGCAGGCTTGAAGTAAAAAAGTACACTAAAGTACAAAAGTAACTTCAAGTACGTAGAAGTAACTTCATGTACATTCAAAGTATCACAAAATTCATTCAAAGTATCACAAAGTTCATTCAAGTACCTGTCAAGTACCATCAAGTATCCGTCAAGTACCATCAAGTATCTATCAAGCACCATCAAGTATCTGTCAAATACCATCAAGTATCTGTCAAGTACCATCAAGTATCTGTCAAGTACCACCAATTACCGTCAAAGTCTTTTGAAGTACGATCAAGTACAATAAAGTACCTAGAAGTATATAATAGTAAGAAAAAAATTCTTCAAAAACTAGAAGTTCACTAAATGAAATGAAACTAGGTTGATGAAATATAAAGTTGTTTATTTATTTATGAAGTACACAAAGATATTATTAAAAGAACAAACACAAGCAAGAACTTTATGAACTGTTATTAGTTGTTTGCTGCATGACTCGAGTTAAACGCTCACTCGATAACTTAGCTATTGTATTTGATAACAGCCAACAGGACGATTGTTTGTGAAAGTATTTCATTTTGTCATTTATTTTGAGCTTGAAGTACGAGGATTCTAACATCGGATTAATATTATTCACGATCTTTATTCCATTAAAGTTGGCTCTGGTTGAATTTAATACCTCTACATCATCATTACAGTCTTCGTTTTTAAAATCTGATAATATTTCATCGAATTCATCTTGTCCATCACCCTCCATATCATTATCTTCGTCATCTTCATCATCATCTGATTCCAACTCCTCATTGTGATCAGTTGTTGCTTGTGATGAATGTCTAAACATTTTCGAAGTTTTCCTTAAGCTATCGAATTCAAATTCACCCACATTGTCTATATCAATTATACCATTTCGAGTTAATGTTTGCAACATTTTTGAGTGTTTCACAATATTGATTGCTTGATTGCATGCGTTTGATATAATTAGTTCGATATCTAATGTATCTATTTCATCTAATCGATGTGAAGATGTTAATGAATCGTCGTGTTTGTGTTTGTAGTGTAATGGAAAGCATAGATTGTTTTCTGATTGATTATATTTAATTTGATTCAATATTGATAGTTTTTGTGAACGTCGAATAAAATTGTTCACAGTGAAATTGACTATGGTCGAGAATGAACCACTTAGCGATCGTGTATCTCTAAAAATTGATTCACATGGTTGAGAATTGAATAAATGTACACCTAGCAGTGCTTGTTTAGGTAGATCTTGTTGTTTCACTAAAAGCACCAAGTAAAGTAGATTGTGTGCATTTAATTCAACTGATAAGTATGCAGGTTTTGAAATAAAGCGGTTATGTATATCGTTTGTTGTTTCACTGCTCGGTTGGCTTTTTGA